ATCGTGTCCGAATTGTCTGCCATTGTTCCTCTGCCATCTGCTAACAAAAGTCCAACATGTGTCCTGTATACCAATCGTAAGCTTGCCGCTCGGTCGTTCAGGTATGCAGACTGCTTTAATTATGCTACTGCGACGACTTCTTATCTCACAGTACCTTCTGCAAATCAACAATTCGTCTTGTCCGTATCCGAATAACATCCGGTAATTCGTGCAGCAGGGGAAACCTACCCTGAGCTTCGTGAACTCAGGTGGGCCCACTCTCTGAAAATGTCTAGGAGCTCGTGGGCCGAAACATTTGTCGACGAAAGATTACATCTACTGATGATTGGTTGACCCCTGCTATACATGCTCCCCTGTGGAGTTTATTCTTATCAATGGGAAGCGTGATCAATGCGTATGAGCATGGTTTAGCAGGCGACGGTGACACTGGAAAGGGTCTTATCTGATATCCCCCCCCCCCCGTCGCTTTGCTATTGAGAGTATGCGTACTCAGCTATACTCGTAGTTTAGTAAGCATGCTGTGAGCTTCTGTTAGCTGCCCTAATACTGTCCACAAGTTTATCGCGCTCGGCGAGGCTGAAATCAAATGACGTATGTGTAGTAAACGGTAAACAGTAATCATAACTTTTACAAGAATGCATTTTTGCTTTGCAATGAAAAGTGTCAGCCGCGATTATATTCTTGACCTCCACGCTCAGTCACTAGAGATAGTTTCAGATTTGCACAGACCAGTCGGTACTCAATAAGTGGTGTGGTCAGAATAACGCTGTTGCCTCAACTGTCTGGAACCTTCCAATGTGTCTCTACTTACTAGAACCTTCTCAGGTGCAACTACTGCAAAGAACCCTCCTAAGTGCCTCTACTGCGCAAAACCTACTATGATGCCTCTACATACCAAGAACCTTCCCTGGTGCCTCTACTGCCAAGAACCTTCCCTGGTGCCTCTATTGCCAAGAACCTTCCCTAGTGTCTCTACTGCCCAAAGCCTTCCCTGGCGCCTTTACTTTACAGAGCCTTCACTGGTGCCTTTACTTTACAGAGCCTTCCCTGGCGCCTCGACTGTCCAAAACCTTTTCTGGTTCTTCTACTGCCCAAAACCTTCCCTAGTGTCTCTACTTGCAAGAACCTTTCCTGGTGCCTCTACTTCCTAGAACCTTTCCTGGTGCCTCTACTTCCTAGAACCTTTCCTGGTGCCTCTACTTCCTAGAACCTTTCCTGTTGCCTATTGTAGGCTGAACTACAACCAGACAAGACAGCAGACAAGCATAATTAGAGCTACTATCAGACAAGACAGCAGACATGTAGAATTAGAGCTACAATCAGACAAGACAGCACGGATGCAGAAATAGAGCTACAATCAGACAAGACAGCACGGATGTAGAATTAGAGATACAATTAGACAAGACAGCACGGATGTAGAATTAGAGCTACAATCAGACAAGACAGCAGACATGTAGAATTAGAGCTACAATTAGACAAGACAGCACGGATGTAGAATTAGAGCTACAATCAGACAAGACAGCAAACATGTAGAATTAGAGCTACAATCAGACAAGACAGCACGGATGTAGAATTAGAGCTACAATCAGAGAAGACAGCAGACATGTAGAATTAGAGCTACAATCAGACAAGACAGCAGACATGTAGAATTAGAGCTACAATCAGACAAGACAGCACGGATGCAGAATTAGAGCTACAATCAGACAAGACAGCACGGATGCAGAATTAGAGCTACAATCAGACAAGACAGCAAGGATGCAGAATTAGAGCTACAATCAGACAAGACAGTATGAATGTAGAATTAGAGCAACAATCAGACAAGATAGCAGACATGTAGAATTAGAACTACAATCAGACAAGACAGCACGGATGTAGAATTAGAGCTACAATTAGACAAGACAACAGACATGTAGAATTAAAGCTACAATCAGACAAGACAGCAGACATGCAGAATTAGAGCTACAATCAGACAAGACAGCAGACATGTAGAATTAGAGCTACAATCAGACAAGACAGCAGACATGTAGAATTAGAGCTACAATCAGACAAGACAGCAGACATGTAGAATTAGAGCTACAATCAGACAAGACAGCAGACATGTAGAATTAGAGCTACAATCAGACAAGACAGCAGACATGTAGAATTAGAGCTACAATCAGACAAGACAGCACGGATGTATAATTAGATCTACAATCAAACAAGACAGCACGGATGTAGAATTAGAGCTACAATCAGACAAGACAGCACGGATGTAGAATTAGAGCTACAATCAGACAAGACAGCAGACATGTAGAATTAGAGATACAATCAGACAAGACAGCAGACATGTAGAATTAGAGCTACAATCAGACAAGACAGCGCGGATGTAGAATTAGAGCTACAATCAGACAAGACAGCACGGATGTAGAATTAGAGCTACAATCAGACAAGACAGCAGACATGTAGAATTGAAGCTACAATCAGACAAGACAGCAGACATGCAGAATTAGAGCTACAATCAGACAAGACAGCAGACATGCAGAATTAGAGCTACAATCAGACAAGACAGCGCAGATGTAGAATTAGAGCTACAATCAGACAAGACAGTAGACATGTAGAATTAGAGCTACAATCAGACAAGACAGCAGACATGCAGAATTAGAGCTACAATCAGACAAGACAGCACGGATGTAGAATTAGAGCTACAATCAGACAAGACAGCACGGATGTAGAATTAGAGCTACAATCAGACAAGACAGCGCGGATGTAGAATTAGAGCTACAATCAGACAAGACAGCACGGATGTAGAATTAGAGCTACAATCAGACAAGACAGCAGACATGTAGAATTAGAGCTACAATCAGACAAGACAGCAGACATGCAGAATTAGAGCTACAATCAGACAAGACAGCACGGATGTAGAATTAGAGCTACAATCAGACAAGACAGCAGACATGTAGAAATAGAGCTACAATTAGACAAGACAGCAGACATGCAGAATTAGAGCTACAATCAGACAAGACAGCACGGATGTAGAATTAGAGCTACAATCAGACAAGACAGCACGGATGTAGAATTAGAGCTACAATCAGACAAGACAGCACGGATGTAGAATTAGAGCTACAATCAGACAAGACAGCAGACATGTAGAAATAGAGCTACAATTAGACAAGACAGCAGACATGTAGAATTAGAGCTATGACAGCAAGGATGCAGAATCAGAATGAGACAAATACAACACAAGGACGAAGAATGGGGGCAATCTCTAGTTTGTTGTTATCAGGAAATGTTATTGAGATAACGTGGTGGCAATTAATCATGTGTGATTGAAAATAGATTGCACAAAACAGGTCTCTGATAACTTTGAAAGAGGGAGCAAAGAGCTGATAATTGATATTGGCTTAGCCAGCCCTGCGATTTCTGGAGATGTTTACAGAGAGTTTAGGGCCCTGGTGGGGACAGCTGTCAATGGGTGTGTTCCCGGATGTGTCGGGTTAAAAGATTTGGCATGTTCTTGAACAGGTCTGGCTCAGATAGCAACAACCCCGGGTATCACCCAACTTTCCTGACCCGTTCCCTACCCATGTCCGAGCATTCGAAGTTTGGATATTTTGAACTGAAGAAGATTAGGCCCTATTGATTTTATGTCACGTGCCCTGAGTGAAGAAATAGTTAGCCATCCTTGCTGTAACCCGCTGTTATTAAAATGATTTTTGCTTTCCCTCTAGACATTGCATCTTTCTTCACAGCTCCGGGACTCCAACCCTGTGCTAGAGAAACATGAGGTCATCTGCTCACCAAACAGGTTTTTTTTTTTTTTTTAAACCTTGGTTATAGATTTTTTGTTCCACTTCTTTCCTTTCTGAATTTTTTATGGCGCTATCTGTGACCTTTCTTCAAGTGACCTTTCTTCAAGTGACCTTTCTTCAAGTAAACGTGGTTTGCAATGGGTACATCTAGTTGGCACGTGCAGACAAAGGAAAACGATGTGAACAGTCAGTGATCTCGCGCTGTGGGAGAGAAGTATACGGTCTGGACAGTCAGTGATCTCGAGCTGTGGGAGAGAAGTATACGGTCTGGACAGTCAGTGATCTCGAGCTGTGGGAGAGAAGTATACGGTCTGGACAGTCAGTGATCTCGAGCTGTGGGAGAGAAGTATACGGTCTGGATAGTCAGTGATCTCGAGCTGTGGGAGAGAAGTATACGGTCTTGACAGTCAGTGATCTCGAGCTGTGGGAGAGAAGTATACGGTCTGGACAGTCAGTGATCTTGAGCTGTGGGAGAGAAGTATACGGTCTGGACAGTCATTGATCTCGAGCTGTGGGAGAGAAGTATACGGTCTGAACAGTCAGTGATCTCGAGCTGTGGGAGAGAAGTATACGGTCTGGACAGTCATTGATCTCGAGCTGTGGGAGAGAAGTATACGGTCTGAAGAGGCAGTGATCTCGAGCTGTGGGAGAGAAGTATAGGGTCTGGATAGTCAGTGTCTCGAGCTGTGGGAGAGAAGTATACGGGAGGATAGTCAGTGATCTCGAGCTGTGGGAGAGAAGTATAGGGTCTGGATAGTCAGTGATCTCAAGCTGTGGGAGAGAAGTATACGGTCTGGATAGTCAGTGATCTCGAGCTGTGGGAGAGAAGTATACGGTCTGGATAGTCAGTGATCTCGAGCTGTGGGAGAGAAGTATACGGTCTGGATAGTCAGTGATCTCGAGCTGTAGGAGAGAAGTATAGGGTCTGGATAGTCAGTGTCTCGAGCTGTGGGAGAGAAGTATACGGGAGGATAGTCAGTGATCTCGAGCTGTGGGAGAGAAGTATACGGTCTGGACAGTCAGTGATCTCGCGCTGTGGGAGAGAAGTATACGGATCGTGACGGATGTGCTGATAGATAAACAAATGTTAGGCTTGGTTTTTTTGGGAGCCCAGTTTAATTTGAGAGAAACGAATGTATCACATAAACAGTAGTTCAAACACGCACAAACAGGGCCAGCACGCACACATATTTGCAACTTGGCTACCTCGACTGTGGACAGTTAGGTAGCCGGTCATAAAGCGAGACACATGAAACAATCATCATCATCAATGTGTGTGTGTGTGTGGACTCCAGGAGACAGAGAAGGCTGATGAAACTCGCCCACCCAGTTTGCGATATGAAGGTACTAGTGCCGGGGGACAGGCTGGCGGAAATCATCAGAGGCGGAGAGTGAGTCGATGGAAGCTCGGGACCCATGGATCGACAGATATCGACTGTGTCGCCTGCAGGGGAACCTCTGCTTTCAACAGACCAGTCAGTTTTTCATTTCAATATTTTTCTGCGCTCCTGTGCCAAATAACAATGAGTATTTCTTTACCTTTTTTCGTTTCTTTCTTCTGTCATTCTCTGATCTGTGTCCTCGCTAAACTGGTTATGTCTGTCATTCTGTGATCTGTGTCCTCGCTATTTGGTTATGTCTGTCATTCTGTGATCTGTGTCCTCGCTAGTTGGTTATGTCTGTCATTCTCTGATCTGTGTCCTCGCTAGTTGGTTATGTCTGTCATTCTCTGATCTGTGTCCTCGCTAGTTGGTTATGTCTGTCATTCTGTGATCTGTGTCCTCGCTAGTTGGTTATGTCTGTCATTCTGTGATCTGTGTCCTCGCTAGTTGGTTATGTCTGTCATTCTGTGATCTGTGTCCTCGCTAGTTGGTTATGTCTGTCATTCTCTTATCTGTAACCCCGCTATTTGGTTATGTCTAACATTCTGTGATCTGTGTCCTCGCTATTTGGTTATGTCTAACATTCTGTGATCTGTATCCTCGCTAGTTGGTTATGTCTAACATTCTGTGATCTGTATCCCCGCTATTTGGTTATGTCTAACATTCTGTGATCTGTATCCTCGCTAGTTGGTTATGTCTAACATTCTGTGATCTGTGTCCTCGCTAGTTGGTTATGTCTGTCATTCTCTGATCTGTGTCCTCGCTAGTTTGGTTATGTCTGTCATTCTGTGATCTGTGTCCTCGCTAGTTGGTTATGTCTGTCATTCTCTGATCTGTGTCCTCGCTATTTGGTTATGTCTGTCATTCTCTGATCTGTGTCCTCGCTTGTTGGTTATGTCTGTCATCCTCTTATCTGTAACCCCGCTATTTGGTTATGTCTAACATTCTGTGATCTGTGTCCTCGCTAGTCGGTTATGTCTGTCATTCTCTGATCTGTGTCCTCGCTAGTTGGTTATGTCTGTCATTCTCTGATCTGTGTCCTCGCTTTTTCGTTATGTCTGTCATTCTCTGATCTGTGTCGTCGCTAGTTGGTTATGTCTGTCATTCTCTGATCTGTGTCCTCGCTAGTTGGTTATGTCTGTCATTCTCTGATCTGTGTCCTCGCTAGTTGGTTATGTCTGTCATTCTCTGATCTGTTTCCTCGCTAGATGGCTATGTCTGTCATTCTCTGATCTGTGTCCTCGCTATTTGGTTATGTCTGTCATTCTCTGATCTGTGTCCTCGCTATTTGGTTATGTCTGTCATTCTCTAATTTGTGTCCTCGCTAGATGGTTATGTCTGTCATTCTCTGATCTGTGTCCTCGCTAATGGGTATGTCTGTCATTCTCTGATCTGTGTCCTCGCTAGTTGGTTATGTCTGTCATTCTCTGATCTGTGTCCTCGCTAGTTGGTTATGTCTGTCATTCTGTGATCTGTGTCCTTGCTAGTTGGTTATGTCAGTCATTCTGTGATCTGTGTCCTTGCTAGTTGGTTATGTCTGTCATTCTCTGATCTGTGTCCTTGCTAGTTGGTTATGTCTGTCATTCTGTGATCTGTGTCCTTGCTAGTTGGTTATGTCTGTCATTCTCTGATCTGTGTCCCCGCTATTTGGTTATGTCTGTCATTCTCTGATCTGTGTCCTCGCTATTTGGTTATGTCTGTCATTCTGTGATCTGTGTCCTCGTGACCTCCAAGTCTGAAATTGTCGGCTCAGATCTATCAGCAACTCCATATTATTTAATATCGCCATTCACTTGAACACATCACTTGACGTCATCAGTTCCTCAAAATTGAACAATACCATCACCGTCAGTATGTTACTTTCGCAAGATGATATAAACAAGAAAAGTATGTTTTACTCGGTTCCCCCCCCCCCCCGCCTTTTTTTTTAATTCTGTGATAGCCTATCAGCGCTCTAGTCATCTTAGGTGATGAGGAAACGAAACATTACATAGACCAGTGCTAGAGGTTCCGGGTTCAATCCCCGGTAAGGGCTGGAATTTTTCACATGGACTTGGACTACTAGTTATTCCCCCTGGTCTCTGGGTAGTGAGATCAGACGCCCGTGTGCATTGTTGTGCACGTAAAAAACCCCTTGGCAGATGGAAATCGAAAATAGTAGAATAATGGCGCTAACCGGGAAAAATTTGGAGTTAAAATCTGTCCAAAAGCATTTCATGATCCTCACCGGTGCTACAGAGCTTGTGCTCTGTCCTGAGCTTCTTCGGACTCAGACTTGAGTTAGTAGGAGAACGGAGCACTTATGGGTTTTTACCCGTGTGCCATGATGTTGATCCGTTGTTCAAACCTCAAACCATAGGGACATTCCCAGAATCGCTCCGTTCTCATGTTTAGCAGCCAGCGAAGAGTTCCTGTTTCAATGATGTCAGTTAACAATGCCTTGACTTGGTCTTTAAATGGCCGGCTCTCATCGAAACCAACAACAGGAACACAGTACTACCACACAGCCGCTTTTTAACATCAAAAAGCAATCCCCCCCCCCAACACGCACACAACTGTATGAGTACGACTGTCAAACGGCAAAGCAGGCCATGATTCCTGTACGTTGACATCTGAACAAAGTGGTCACAAACGCTATCGTAAAACAATCGAGTTCGAATCTTCCATGAACTCCCTAGAGACGCAGATGACCCGTGACCCTAGATCGAGTTCGGAATCTCGTTTCACTTTGTCTCAAAGTCAACCAGTATCGGTGCTGACCAGTGGCCGTTCAATTATTAACTAATTGAATCGCTGGGTGTGGCACCGATTATCAGTAATTGTTATCAGTAGCCGGCGATCAAATGTGTCAGATAAGCCCGGGCGGTATCGACCGGGACCAGGCAAAGGGAACTGGCACGATGTTTGTCGAGTTGACACCGGATAAACACAATCTGTTGGCTAAATGTGTTAACTGTTTGGATTTGTGAGTGTCCAGTCAACAATGTAGCAGGCGCAGGCAGACTTGGTTGATTGGGAGATACACATGATAGTGTTAGATTTGAGACAGGCACGAAGATGGGAAAGCGAGATTGTCAGGAAAATCATCTTCCTTCCACTACCCCCCACCGTTTTTTTTCGAAATGTAAGGAAAGACATAAAGAGCCAGATACAATATGATATATTTACAGATACAGACTGACAGTCACACAGATAACCAGCTTGGCAGACAGACTAAAAGGGGACAGACTTCATCACAGGCAGGCGTGAAGACAGGATGCATCACTGGAAGTTTTCTGGCTCTGAATCCTGGTCCCCAGCTTCCGGGTCATGACATTACTGTACCGTTGTTGGCGAGGGGTGCCAGCAAATGAAGGGCGTAGAGAGGAATTGTTTGGCGGCATGTTTAAATCATCACTTTTGTTTGCTTACGTCATGAACGTTTGCTGACTTAAGTCTGCCCAATCCCGCCTAGCTACTCTGTTACATCGTAATGCCTTAAATTTGCTGGGCCCCTAAAACTTCTCAAGCTAACCAGACAAAAAAGTTGCCGCAACAATGGAGACTGCACATCCAGGTCGTGTATAATAGCTGGCGAAAATTCTTGGCTCACTGTTTCTTCTTCTCCAGTTTGTGATCCTTTGATTAAAAAAAAATATGTGTTCGTTCTCCTGCGCTAATCCAAAGATGTAATTGTATTGTGTACTTTTACAACATGGCTGCGAAATGTGCATCTTTCGGCCAACACATCCGACTTCTGCGAGCATTTGTTGACCGGGTTAGTTTTTGCGGCCCTGTTTCTATAAGTGACTTCTTGAAATCTGAGTGTTGACTATGAATGATTGTTCCATGGTGTCAGTTGATCAAAAGTCATAGTTTTACATTTCTGTTACCAATCCTGACCTGACATTTACACTAATGGGACAATCCTTAGCCACCTTAAAACCGCCCAGCAACACTGAACTAAACACTGCAGTAGAAAAAACATAATTTGACCCACACTGTATTATCGCTTGATTAAGTTAAAGAACCCAAAAAATGTGCTCATAAAATCGGTGCAAAAAATCGACATTCTGTATCACTCTTATTGCCAAGAAATGTTCTTGGTTTGGGAACTTCCTTTTACAACCTTTGACCTTGCTCCCTGTAATTATGGCCTTGACTTTGACATTGCTGACCTTTCTTTGATGATACGCCGCCGCCTTGCGTCCTCCTGTCCCACTTGCAGCAGCCAGAAAAAAGACTCAACCCTGAGGTCAGAATCCAGACTTTACAAATGTTTGACAGAACGTCTGCACAAATTACAGTGTTTGGGATTGATTCAGCTCTATGCGCCGATTCACCAGCTTTTGAAACCGATTCAGTAGAGTCTTGTCTCTGGTTACCTTAACAGTTGCATTCTGGGAAACCTCTCTACTTTACAGAACCTTTCCTGGTGTTCCTACTTCCCAGAACCTTTCCTCGTGTCCCTACTTTACAAAACCTTTCCTCGTGTCCCTACTTAACAGGACCTTCTGGTGCAACAACCAGACAAGACAGCAATAATGCAGAATTAGATCTACAATCAGACAAGACAGCAGACATGTAGAATAAGAGCTACAATCAGACAAGACAGCAGACATGTAGAATAAGAGCTACAATCAGACAAGACAGCAGACATGTAGAATTAGGGCTACAATCAGACAAGACAGAAAAAAGGCCGAATTACAGCACACACACACATATATATTTATATATATATATATATATATAATATATATACATATATATATATTATATATATATATATATATATACACACCCACACATAATATATATAAGTTAGGAGAGATGAGACAGTCAGTTAGTAAGCCAAACACACACACACACACACATATATATATAAGTAAGGAGAGATGAAAGAGTCAGTAAGGGAGCCAAACACACACACACAAACATATATATATAAGTTAGCAGAGATGAGAGAGTCCTTAAGGGAGCCAGACACACACATACACACACACAAAGAGAGAGAGAGTGAGAGAGAGAGAGTGAGAGAGAATGAGAGAGAGAGCGAG